TCCGTGAAATTTTTTTTTGAATTCCCCTTGTGAGGTTCTAATGCTCATTGACTGCAAGCTTGTTGTCGTTTTTGCTCCGTGTGCACAATGGACCCATCCTGTTGTACTTGACTTTGGGGATCGAGACACTTCCAGAAATAATTTTGTTGAGAAGGTTGAGTCGGTTCTCTTTATGGCGTAGTTGAATATTAGGCCAATTATGTGATAGTAACGCTGAGAGGGTCTATGTCCCCCAGGGTACTGCCGGAACGTACCCTGGTACTATCTAATATGCCTGACCTTACCTCGCCTACTCCACTAACGAGTCTAGGGAGTCGCCTACGCCTACTCCTAACCTTATCAAATAGTTACCAGGGTACGTTCCGGTATACCGGACCGTACCCAGGGTACGTTCCGGCAGTACCCTGGGGAACATAGACGCCCCTATGACTATGAGCGATAGTAACACTGCAGTTACGCAGTTTTTATCATGTTTTAATCACTATCTTACTTAGTATCTATTTACTCTTGTTTGATATCGATGCAAAAGCTCTTAGCTTATGTTAATAATGTTCATTATATACCGATGAAAATAAATTTTATTTGAACTTGAACTTGAACTTGAACTTCTACTGTACCTATGCCTATGGCTATGCAGTATGAAACTATGACTATGAGTATGACTATGAGTATGCAGTGAAGGTAAAAATATTGACGCCTGAATTGAATTGAGGCCAATAAGCTGGTATGTAGAAATTATTATCAAATAGCATGAAAATTAAAAAAAAATACATATACTGCTTTGAATCTTAATTTGGACTTATGTACAAATGTCAAGTACTTTACCTGCTTGTTAAGAAAAGCCTGAAGTAAAGGTCCGCGAAACGACCGACAGAGCGCAGCCATGTTGGACGTGCAATATCACGCAAAATCTCGCGTGCCGCACAATGATGAAAAGTAGGGCCGATTGTGTGGCATTTTTTTAATTGACTACAACACCACAATCCTATAAAAATTGGTGAATCAGCACGTTATTTTATGGTAATAAATATACACGGTTTTGTAAAAAATTATTAAAAAGTTAACGTTTATGGAAACTATGAAAAATAGTGCCAAAATTAACACAAGATATTTGTTATGCCGCCATTTGCATCCTGGTCATTTCTCATCCTGGTTCTTCACAAAGTACCCGTAAGAACTTATATATATTTCTGCTCAGCATGGCAAGCAATCCGATACAGCCGCTTGTACCTGTTTTTAGTTGTTTCAATTTCAACGTTTCATTTTTATGCTTTTTATTAACGAATGATTTATTGTATGTTCGTGGTACGGGCTCTGTGCCACGATGTGCAGTAATTGACAAATGGCGGGATGTGGTGTGTATTAGTACGTGTACGTGTTGGCGTGATGACGCATGATTGATGGTATTGGTACTATAAAACGCAACGACCAAGTCACCAACGTCTCCAAGTCACCAAGTCGACCAAGTCACCAACGTCTCACGACACATTTACGTCGTGTATTACTGTATTATGTATAAACAAAACGGTTCAAGGATAGAGATGATGTCCAGGACGGTGATTGGATAGGATAATGTATATTACTGGACATGCTCTCTATCCTTGAGGCAACAAAACAAAAAATGACACTGACTAGAATCGTAATTTTAATAGTCCATACCTAGATTTTATACAAATACAATAATGTAACCAAACAAGAGTAAGCCAAAGGTTACATATTATAGGCCTAGGGTAACCCTACTCATTGGATTATTATCCTAAAGGCTAAACAAACAATGATGAATGTTTTGATAAACTATATCATGCATATGCTGTCATATATTAATTTGTAACTTTGGTGCGACATCAGGGCCGTAGCCTCGGGGGAGGGGGGGGCAAAGGGCAGCTGCCCCCTAGATTCTGGAGCAAAATAAAAAAATACACTGTCACTTGGCTAATAATCATAAATAATTAACCCTAATGTGATTTTTTGGGGCATGCACGTATCAGTGAAAGCTAGCTTTGTCTCAGACCCACCCTTACCACACTATAGACATCGATCAAGAGCTGCGCCTGTCGCTCATCATTACACAGCTAGTTGAGTCATGAAATTTTGGCCCCTTCCCCCGAGGAATTTGCTCAGCCTACGGCCCTGGACATGTACTATAATCATAATTTATTGTAGGTGCAGCTAGGCTATCGCGATCACTTTCTTCTAACATATGGAGGAAACAGGGTCAGACAGTGGATGGGAGCAAGTCTCCAATACTGCAGGCCTCGTGTTGTCAGTGGATGAGACACTAGTGAGTACAAGTTAGTGACAGTGTGTGTTAATGCATCGCGGTTGTAATAGTTCTATAGTATAGCTATATACTGCAAGCGTTTGTGGGGGGGGGGGTTATAATGTGTCACATTCTACAGATAGCCTGCCTAATCAACTATGCCACCGCAACATTCCGCATATGCCACATTTTATGCAGAAATGTAAGGGCTTTCATTGTAGAGTAAAAAAGTTTGTGTCAAAAACTTTCATATTTTTACGTGAGTAGGTCGATCAGCATTAGAAATAGTATGTTTTTTCTAATAATACCACAAATTTTTCAACCCACACCACACATGCAAGAGGACAAGTCTGGTTGTATATAGGTAGACCATGCATTCACGTACTTTCACCACCATGCATGCCGAGAGCGTAATTTGTCACATATTCCTCAGTGTGTTAGATAGGTGGCAGATGATGTGTGTACCAAAAAGAAGGCGAGAAAATATAGCCGGATGAATAAAAAAGTGATTCCACGTCGATCGTCCCATAGGTAAAACTGATTTTTAGCTCATCTGACGTAGTCAGATGCAGCTTGTAGAATCGCATGATCGTCCGTGCGTGCGTGCGTGTGTGCGTGCGTCAACAGTAATTGGGCACAAATCTTAACCGCTCGACGTATGCATGGTCACGATATTCGGGACGTGGGTGGGTAATCTGAAAACGAGTTAGGATGTCGAAGCTGGGGGTCAAAGGTCAAGAGGTGTAAAAGAAGGGGGAACATTTCTTCCTTAACTTAAGGTATAGGGAGGAAATGCAGAATTGCGGCACAAATCTAAACGGCTTGACCTAGGCTCGTGATAGTCGGTGTATAGCATCATGGTAGGAAAAGCCATCACTGTGCCGAAATTAGAGGTCACAGGTCAAAGGTCAATGGGGCACAAGGCAGATTTTAGACATTTTCTGTGGACATGGTCTGACGGAGCGATTGAAAAACTTTTTTGTTTCAGCGGTGACTGTGGTAGTACTATATAGATAGGTGATGAGGCTGCGGTAGTGGAGTGATATGAGAAATAAATGACTTGAAAGATGGGCTGCCAAATCATAATCAGTGTTCGCAGTTTACTGGTGATGAGA